TAATGATTTTCCTCCATATGAAAATCCTTCTGGTTATAGCATAAAAGATCAATGTGCATGTCCAATATGTGATGAAAAAAAAGATTACCTAAGATTAGAGCACTGTACAAGAATGTTTTCATAGAGCATCTTAGGTGGTTGGGACAAAATTTTCCTTTCAGAAAAATGAAAAAAACTTTTAATGAAAGTTGTAAAGAACGACGATGTCCTTATTCAAAAAGTGGAGAAGAAATCTTTGATGAGGTTAAGCATATAAGAACGACATTCGAAAAACCTTTTGCTAAACAAATTCCAACTGCAGGTTGGAAGAAGATGTCAATTTTCTTTCCGTTACCTTACTGGAAATATTTATACGTAAGATACTTTGTTGATGTTATGCATGTTGAAAAAAATGTTTGTAAAAGTGTGATTGGTACATTATTGAACATCGTGGGAAAAAAGAAAGATGACATCAATGCAAGACTTGACTTGGTAAAGCTGGGAATACGATCTGATTTGGTTCCAGTGAAGAAGGAAGTGCAAACGTTTTTACCGCCCACAGCATGTACCCTATCGAGAAATAAGAAACGTGCTATAGAGGATTGAAGTCTTGTATCATTTAAGGAGCTAAAGTTAAAAGGATTGAAGTCTCATGATTGCCATATCTTAATAGAGGATTTAATTCCTATTGCTATACGGTCTATTCTACCAAAAAAGATTCACGGGGCAATCACAAAGTTATGTTTCTTTTTCAAAGCAATATGTAGCAAAGTGATTGATCCTAGGAGATTACCAGCTTTGCAAAACTAAATAGCTGAAAGATATATGAAGATTTTAAAAGGGTATGTTAAGAATAGAAGCAGACCAGAGGGTCGTATTGCTGAACAATATTTAGTAAAAGAAGCAGTTGAATTTTACAATGAATACCTGTCAAATGTTGAATCATGTGGTATTCCACAATCATGTCACACAGGAAAGACTTTAGGGGAAGGTAGCAGTGGTTGTCAACAAATAGAGGTTCCTAGACTGCAATAGGATCAAACACATTTGTATGTATTACAAAACATATCTTCGACAAAGATGAAAATCGTGTCCCCCATCTTCTAGAGAAGTATCAGAGATTCATCACAGTCACTGATCACTGGATGGACTTTATCAGCAAATCCTGTACAAAAGATTTTAAGGTAATTTGTCTCACATTATTACTTCAATTATCATTTCATTTATAGTTGGTTATTGATTTGGTACGTTTTTGAATGTCTAATTTTAGAAAGAAAGTGAGGCTAATGCAGTAAGGGCGAAAGGAATGTCGTACAAATACATGCGGTCAATTAAGGGATATGCTAAGTTAGAGCAAAATTTGGTATGTAATTTTGTGTCATATGTAACCTTGTAACAGTTTTTTGACTCTTATATTTTCTTTAATGAGAGAATTTAATTTGGGATTTTTGTGTAGATTGCTACATTTGGGTCTAATTTGACCTCAGTAACTTGACATGTCTTATGGAAAGCTGCTAGGGTCAACAAACAAGGTGACATTGATGACGAAGGAGTTCAAAAAAATGGTCCATGAATTTGTAAGTGGTTACTGCTAATGTATTAGTATATTCGTTATACATAAAGTTGTATTTGAATTCTCCTTTAATGACATGCAAGTTTATGTTATGTTTATTGTAGGAAACCCTTTCATAGGTCATTCTAGACACTGAGTCTGAATCAATAACCCGAAATGACATACTCTCTCAAACACTTGGTGCAAAAGAACATCTAGGTCGTGTGAAGGTTGTAGGTTTTGGGGTGACCCAAAAATTTGCATTTGGGCCAGCACCATCATGTCCACATCCATCATCTACTGAGTGGCTACAATGAAGCATTGAGTAGCGCATTTGACCAATGTAGTGACACAGTTAACAGGGGCCAGGGACTGCCCCCATTCATATCAGGTCAGATGTCGTTCAACCCTACTGCCTTCCCCCCACCATGTATGCCACCCTTTTCAATATTGCTCCTCAAATGCAACTAATAGCGAACATTGGTTCCAAAATGCCTAGAGATGCACCTTCTACCAACCAAAGAGGCAGCTACACACCAATTACATTTGTTGACATTCTAGAGGTATTTAAGCTCCACTAAATCATTATTTACCTTGTAATGTTTACTACTTTTGATTTAATTAGAAAAGAATATAACAAACTTATTTTCGTAGGGTGATTATGACTATTTGTTATACTTGAACACCCCTTTTCGCCTAGTTGCAAGAGGGAGAGTATGTCATACAGCGGTTGGGGACTCCTTAAATAATATGACTCTTCCTCCAGAGCATGGTAAGGTTTTACTAGAGGTAGTGCAATGACATGAGGAGGAGTCTACATTGCCTGTCTCAAATGAACATGTAAACCTAATTTGCTTGAAAGATGTCATTGGTACTTATGTTACTTGGCCATTTTCCCTACTCATTTTAAGACCCAAGGTATGTATGCAAGCTTCTTTATAATTTGAAAGACTAGATGTTACAATTAATACATATATATTTTAGGTTGCCCCTTCATCAAGTAAAGAGTTAGGGAAAGAGATAGTCTACTCAAAAGAGTCCATTACTAGTCTATCCAATAAAGGTAGTAGTGCTTGTGTATCATCAGAGATTCTTAAGTTGGTAGAAGTCCAAGGTGTTGCATGCTTAGATATGATGAAGCTGTTTGTGAGAAGTGATCAAGCCATTGATACAACTACAATTTAATTGACAACTGAGCACTAGGTAAAGAGTTTTGTGACATTGCGGGGAAAGAAAACATTATAGAGGTCATACGTCGACATTGGTTGAGTGCCTCTAGCATTAACCTTTACATACGGTAAATTAATTTTCAAATTATATAATTCTTTAGCAATTTATAACTTTTTGAACGTTCATTGTATAATACATTTCAATTCTACTTTTGCAATATAAGATATTTGTCTGAAGCTTACTTGCATGGGACAACAATGACAAATAGATTCTCATTTATATCTCCATATGAAATGGACGAAAAGCTCAATCTGAACCCACATCAACATATAGCTAAAATGTTGAAGCGTCATATGGGTGAAGATCACTTGATTTTTGCACCTTATAATGTTGGGTAAGTCAATCTAATTGAGACTCTGCTTTATGTTTTATAATTTAGCATATAACTTTTAATTGTTATAATCTTAAACATATATTTATACTCGTGGTAGGCAACATTGGGTCTTGGTTGCCATCAATACTGTCAACGAGACTATTTATTATATGGACCCTTTACGCAAGCAGCTAAAGATCAGAACACATATGTAGAACCTATTTAATAAGTAAGCATTCATTTATGTCAACCAACTATCATTAATGTTAAGTGGTTCAAATGTATCTAAGTTCTTTTATGCACCATTGTTAGTGCTCTTGTCATGTATCGAGCAGAGGGGGAAGTGCAGCCCTCTAGGATAAAGATGACTCAAATAAGATGGGTCACTGTATAGGTAACACTATACTTGTCACATATCGAGTAGAAAGGGAAGTGCATCCCTCTAGGACAAATATGAGTCAAACAAGATGGGTCATTGTACAGGTAACACTATATCATGTAATATGTTTTTAATTTTCAGGTAAATAATAATTGCACTGTATATCTTTCTTAGTTAATGTTGGTTTATTTCTTTTTATCTTCCACACAGTGTCCAAAGCAAACAAATAATGATGACTATGGATATTATGTGTGTCTATTCATTGCGGATGCTTTGCAGCATGGACAAACTGTAATCCTAGTTAATGTAAGAATCTTACAAATGCTAACTGTTTGTCATATGCTTATTATTTGACTTAATTAATTAAGCTTTGTGTTTTATTGTTTTCTATTCAATACTTTCCAAAGGTGCAGATGCCAACTTTCCTTGACAACAAAATTCATCAAGTGCAAAAGGAGTGATGTGCATATTTGTACCATAGATATTTAAAGGAGACATTAAGTACAATAGATTATTAGTGTTTTTTTTACAATATTTAGACAATTTTCTTTCAAGGCATTAGGCAAAAAGTGTAAATATGAGATTATTTTCCTCTTGTCATGTAAACTCTGATTGTAATTTGTACATATGAATTGTAGTTGAATAATATAATGTGTAATTGCTTTGAAACTCTGGTATATCAGGCTCTATTTGAAATTTATATTCGGATTGAACTGGTTCTGAATACTATATGCTTTACCAGATATGCTAAAAATAAAAATTATGACAGTTTTATTAAAATAATTAAAAAATGTTTCTTAACTTTGGAGAGTGGTTCACGAATAACCGCTTAGCAAAGTCCACTTCTGAGAGCGGTTTAACAAATAACTGCTCTTAGAAGTACACATAAAAGAGTGGTTAAACGTGAACCGCGAACAACCGCTTAGCAAAGTCTACTTGTGAGAGCAGTTTAACAAATAACCGCTCGAACAACCGCTTAGCAAAGTCTACTTGTGAGAGCAGTTTAACAAATAACCGCTCTCAGAAGTACACTTAAGACAATGGTTAACCGCTCTCAGAAGTACACTTAAGACAATGGTTAAACATGAACCGCTCTTATAAGTTTGAAATTAGAGAGCGGTTAACTGTTAATTGCTCTCTTTGGTCCAGCTTCTAAGAGCGGTTCACTCATAACTGCTATCTAAAGTACTGAATAAATGAGATTTTAATATTTTTATAAAATTTTAATTTTAAACTCTATTCTTTTTACTCTTCGTTACTATTTTTTCTAATCTAATATTTTTAGTTTCTAACTTGACTTAACAAAAAAATCAACGTGGACAAACTTCTTACTAATTATGTTATTAGTGACTAAAAGAATTGGAAATAAAAAATAATTCAGGAGCTAATATATAAATTAAAATTATATTTAGTTCGACAAAATTTAAATAATTTGATATATGAAAAAATTGATGCCTAAGCAAAGTCTCACTTGCAAAATGCCTAACCCGCAAATGTAACAAAAAGAATTGAACAAACAAAAACTCCACTCAACACCGAAGGTAATATCAAGGACGAGGACTGAACCACAGACATCGACCTGATGCTTGTGAAGGGAGATTGAAGCGAATCAGAGTAGTTTTCTTGTCCTTTAGAGAGAAGACTCCAAGATTACGCTTTTCAAATGATGAACTAAGCGTGTTATTAAAACAGAATAAAACACCATTGCCTGGAAGATCAAGGTCCTTAGTAGACATAAGTTGAATACTGTCGGAATCCATTAACAAGACACGATCATTCAAGCTATGAAGCTCTATCCAACGAGGGCCACTCATGTCCAGCTTAAAGATGCGAAATCCTTTCGCATGAATCAAGTATTTGCCGTCCTTGTCAGTCACGAAATTCATATGACAAATAACTAACAAGACTTCTTCACTGTCCCTTACCAACCAACATGTCTCAAGGTCATCACAATAGTGAAGAAGATCATTATGATCATCCAGATGGCGAGGAACCTTCACAATTAGTTTTGAATCAACCATAACTAGTCTTTCACATGTAATGTCATTGAGATCTCCTAGATTAAAAACGGTCAAACACTCTGATTTGAATGCATCAATAGCATATAATTTCAAACCAACCATTACGATTTCATGGAAACAAGATGATCTATCCGTTTCAATAAGAGTCCAGGACGTGTCACTGACCTTGCAATAAGCTAGCTGTTGCCGAAGCGGATTTTTCCGCAGATTTGTAAGTAAGATCGCCACAAGAAAATCTGGAGAACCAGGCCTGGAAGTGAACGTAACTTTAACAAAAAGAGGATTAAAATAGCGGCCTACTGACAACGGTGGAAACTGGTATTTTTCACCAGATATTGGATTGAGAAAAACGGAAATCATTCTATTAATAATTTCCGCGGAACAAATTTTGAAAAACATCAACCATCCTTCTAGTGACTGAAGGACGTCGAATTGACCTTCCCAATCTTCAATTGAAATTGTGTGAAGTGGGTTGTCTCTGTCTCGTTTGAGGTCCAAAACAGTGGCACTGTCGCTCGGAGAGGGGTGAGGAAACAACAAAAATGGAAATTGAGACGCAGGAGGACATCTCTTTGTTGCATTATCAACTGCATCTCGCCAATATCGACATATTTGTCGACATTTGAAATATTCTCTCAGTGATAAATTTTGTAAAATCATTTCCAACAGATCCGGATGCAGAGATGACCAACTTCCACTGTCTTCTATTAGCGTCATGTCTTGGAAAACAAAGTAGCCTCCTTCCAAAGCGTGGTACAGAGAGTACAGAGGATCGGTTGTGAGGAACTAGGATGAAGTTTTGTCGACAGAAAGGAAAAAAACAGTCATGTGATAAGAAGCGCCGTTTCCATCAAATCTCGCTCTCATGGATTATGGTGGATGCAGATCCAGTCTCTCTCAATGCTTTAATATGCCCAGCCTCACTCTTCTAAATTCCTGAATAGCAGCGAATGGCGTTACGGAAACAGAATACGGGTTTAAACAGATATTACTGTTATTATTAAAATATCATTTGCTTATCTTTACTCTTACAAAATTCTCTTTAAATAAAATATCATCTAATTTAATCACGTTGGATTTACATTGATTTAAATAAAATTTTAAATTTAATATAATCTAATTAAAAATACTTTTTATTTAATTCAGTTTTTAAATATTGATTTTACAAGTTCTAAATTTTAAATGATAACATTCTTTTTAATATTTTGTTAAATAAGAGTGTATTTAAAAGTTAGTTTTTGTTTTATTCCAAGTAATTTTTTAAAATAAGTATTTTCTTTTTAATTTATCAATGACTTCAAGGAATAATTTGTTATTACTAATTCTTAAACAATATTTTGTTTTTCGTCAATTCAACTGATTTTATTTTAGATTAAATATTTATTTTTAATTTAATATGAAATTAATAGCTTGTTTGAATTCTATTTTTAAAACCCGTTTTTAGTGTATATATATATAATGGTTATTATTTTCTTAGTAGTCGTTTTGAAATCATCAATTTTAAAAAATATAAAACAGCAACATCTAAACGATCTTTCGGCCAACTTTTAAACGATGAACAGTTATAAATAATTAAATTCATTGACTTCGATAGATATTTAAAAAGGTCATTTTTTAAATTCTTTTATAATTTATTTTTATTGCATATAATAGAATATTTATTATTTAAGGATTTGTATATAAAAATTAAATATAAAATTTTATATATAGAATTATATTAATATCTGTATATAATTTGTAAAAATACTATTTCTGTTAAGTGTTTTATCAAACATGAACACTTTTGGGTTTTGATATATTTTTCATCATGGTATTTTATAAATTAAGTATTTACTTTTAATTTAATGTTAAATTAAATTTTGAATTTTTATATTTTAAATTTTTTTAAAATTTATCTCTTTACGTAGAATTATATACTTTTAATTTTTAGCAAAAAAAAAATACTTTTAATTAAATATTACTATCTTCTTAATTAAGTCATGTATTTTTCTATATTTAATATTTAGTTTTATATTACTTGTTTTGAATTTTATTCTTTTAATTTATAAAATTTATTAAATTTAAAATAAGTGGCATAATATATTTTTAAATAATTATTTAAACATTTAGTTTGATAATATTACTGTAGTGTATAAAAGAATTACTAGTGTAAGTATAAATGAGAAGTTAAATTTTTTTAAATAAAATTATATATCTAGGTATAAATATAGTTTGAATTTGATTGAATTGACCTTCCAAAATAAATTTAAAAACAATCTAATTCAACAAAAAAAAAATTGCTTTAAATTTAACACTCTAATTTCTTTCTTCATGTGATTTGCATTGAATTCGTCAATTTATAGAGTCCGAAGGAGATCCAATAAAAAACAATGACTTTTAAATGTGATTATGATTTAACAATATAAAATACATCATTATATATAAACTTCTAAATTAGATTAAGATTGTTTACTAGATATACTCATATTAGCTAACTAGCTAGTGATCACGTTGAATTCTTTAGGAACGTAATTGAATCGAACTTTCCAATTCAGTTGAAATATGGTACTCTTTAGATAAATTCTTAGAGAAGTTGGTACATAAGAAAAGAAATTAATAGAAAAAATAAATAAAACTTCTTTTATTATTCTAAAAAAATAAAACTTCTTTTATACATTAGAAATAACTCATACTTTTCTATTTTTTTAAAGTTATTAAAAGTTCTCTCATTTAACTTATTTAAAACTTGTGAAAGTAAATTGTTTATAACTTATAGAGAAATTTTATTTATTTTTTTTATATATTTTTTCTCTTATAAGAAATTTTATGGAAGTTTATCCATTGAGCCAAATGTCTATGAGTGACTCCGCATAGATATACAGTAGATGAGCATAAGGATATTTAACGACATGAATATCTCTTATGAGCATAAATATGTATTTGAATGTCTTGAACAAGTATGACAATTTCGAACTAAATATGGAAGGATAATAACTTTTGGAGTGAAAAAAATAATATTTTAATTGATTAAGGTATGATATAATTACATCTTATAGATATGTTTGTTGATTAATGATGAGTTTTTTTAGGTGAAGTTGTGTTGTTTAATACTACATATTAGACCAATCAGGCTAATAGGCTTTTAACATTGTTTTTAAGTTTTAACCATTGTAAGAGTGTCGTTATTTTTGGGGTAGCCTTGTTGTATGATGAAATAAAAATTATTTCAATAATTGTTTGAGACATTTGTAGAAGCATACAATAAAAGAAACCTTAAATGATTTTTACAAACTAAGATTAAGCAATCGCCAAGGCACTTGTTCAAGCAATGCCTGGGACACATCATGTTTTATACACATGGCACTTAATGCAAAATATAATAAAACACATTAGCAATTTGATGAAAAAAGAAAGTCATCTTTTAAGAGATTAAAAAATATGCATGTATAAGTTTGATAATTCAATATAATGTTGAAGACAATACTTAGATTATGTCATTTTATTCAATAAGGTAGAAATTTGTATTATGTTATCTAAAGGATGTGTTCAAATTTGAAATGTGGAGTACTCAAATAAGTGAAAACTTAAATTTTAATTTCAAAATTTGTGTGAAACCTAGTGTTGACATAAAACTGTTCTTTAGACACTTTGAATAGGTTATTGAAGACAAGTGTTACAATGAGCTAAAATTTGAGTATAACTCCATCATAAACTAAAAATGTTACGATATGATATATCTACAATACTTATATAAATGGCCAAAATTTACACATATACAATGTTTAAATTATTCCAACAAGAATTTGCTCTATTCTTGCTTTGTTGCATGTCACAAAAGATTGAAATTCTCCCTTGGATTAAATGTGTCATTACTACCATCAACAAAGTAAGATCATAGACAATTACATTTGATCGTTCCTCACCTACATTTGACATACTTTATTTCCATGCATTGAAAGTGTTTAAAGCCAATAATGTCAAGGTTGTCCCTCACAAATACAAACTTAAGAGATGGACAATGCAAGGTTGTTGTGGGATTATTCATTCTGATACCATCACCTAGCATATAAAATGATTAGGTTGGCCTCTAAGATATCTAGTTCATAAGAATACTGTGAGTTGATGGATGAGAGTATTAACACTTTAACTGATCAAATCATAAAGCTTTGCTTATAAGCACAAACTATTGGCAAGAGTAAGGATGATGCTCCAGTTGTCGTGAACAACAAAGAACCCTAATCACTAAAGCCATTGAAAAGCTAGGTTTAGCTGCAAGCAAAAATTAAGAAGAAAACTTCAATTTAAGGTCAATAAGCATCTCAAGTACTTTTATGTTATAACTTTTAATGGCAATAAATATATGTATTTTAACTTTCTTATTATAACTATATATGTATTTTTATTAAAATATATCAACAAATATTTTCTTATTCATTTGAAGTACATTGCTCGACATCTCAATGTTATGATCTTCACACATTAGTGAATCAATTCAATTACATGGAATAGTGAACAATAAGACTGTTTAACTTAATGTAACATCAATTTAATTCGCTTACTTTTCTTTTAATTCAATTTCAATAGTTTTATCTTATCTTGCAGGGACACCTTAATTATACACATGGTTCAATCCTTAATCAAATTTAATTGTGCAACTGCCTATACTTATTTTGTTTCTTCATTAAATTTGTATTTATTAATTTATTTATTTTTGTGTAAGATGTATATTAAAACACTTTGTGATCAAATGTGTTATCTTGCATGTTGTCTGTTTTCTTCGTAATAATAACAATTTTTGCATTATTCACTTAAGTGAATATATTTTGCTCAAGTAAATACTAATTTACTTTATTTTGTGTAAGTTGACTTAAACAAAATTTCTTTTGCTAAAGCATATAAGATTTCACTTAAGCAAAACATAAATTTTCTATGTAAAGCTTTTTGTTCATTTTTGCTTAAATTTAATTAAATTTACTTGGACACACATAAGTAAATTTTCTTTGATTTAAGTGAATTTTTTTGGTTTAAAGTGAATTTTTACCTTTTCTCCAAAACCCACCTAGGCAAACACGCTCTCCCTCTCACTCTGATTTTTGCTTCCCTTCACCACTTCCTCTAATCCCCTCTTCCTTTCTATGAATATTCCTTGTAGCCGCTTCCAAGCCTCGCCCCTTCCTTTCCAAGGTAACTTAGGATTTTCTCAACTTTTTTGATAGCTCGTACTATCCCTAACCGCATTATAGGACCACTCCCAGTTGCGACTCCAAGGACCTCGAAGAGGAGAAAGAATACCCAATTTGGAAGATGAGGATTACTTGCACAAAGTCGTCATGCAATGCATGGGGATTAAAAGCTCATTGACCCCAAACCTAACCATATCACTCCTTGCACAATGACCACCATGACGACGACAATAAGGATGATGAAGGAGTGGAATACGAGGTGCATGTAGCAGATCAGGAAGTGGTTAGTCACTAGAAAGCTAAGGACCAAACCAAATTCTCCCAAGGTTGACAAAGAAATTCAACTTCTCTTTTAAAGGATTTCTAATTTAGTACTCAAATCATCTGGCTAAGGTGGTATTTGCTCGAACAGTTGGAGATGAAGGGATGGGATGCAGTTGACACAGTCTGAGAATTTTGGTTGTCACATCCTTTGCTTCCACAAACAAAATTAACAATGAGGTGATAAAATTAAAAACAAAATTTGGATAATAATTCAAACAACTTAAGTTTAAATTTTAATTATTAAATAAAAATATAATTAAAATTCTAACATAATATGTGGCATGCAAGTGAGAATAATCTCATAACACTATTGCATATGCCGTCAACCACAATGAATAATCTCTGCAACAGAAATCGAAAGTTATGAAAACATTAACATCCAACCACCATAACATGAATCCATCACTGCTAACCACCAAATTGTACATGTATCACATAAGGACATAATCATCAACCTCTTAGCAGGAATCATGAGGAACCATCATCCATCTCTATTTGCCATAACTTAGAAGCCACCAAATGGCAAACCAAACAACAACCTTGCAACTGCCGCATAGCTCAGATCACAATGAACTTGACCTGTGCACCAAATTTCAAAAATCATGAAGTTGTAAGATTACACATGCAACGTTTTTAAAACCATGGTGACTCTTGTCTAAAACTTGATATAACATATTTTAAGTTTATATTTATAGTTTTATTTTGATTTATAGACAATTTTAATATACTTTGTTTTCAGAGTTTTTACCATTTTCTATTTATTTGAATAAATTAGACTTGTTACAAATAAATGCTTTAATTTTGTAAATTCAGTTATTCTGACCTTTATCTACTCTTTTGAACATAACTTTTTCTATAAATATTTTTTTGGCTTATTCTAACTGTATTGGATTCTACACATCCAGGGCTTCAAAATTCATATATGGATTGCTGGATTTGAAGTTGTTTTTGATTTTTTATGATTTTTTAAGTTGAGGCAGATTTGCTGAATATTGTTGTGGGATTGCATTTGGGCCCTTGTTATTAGATAACTATAATTGGGCTTATAATTATAATTATAATTAAGGCCTGAATCTTGGCCATTTAGTTTACCCTAATCAGAATCTATAAATAAACCACTAAGGTTCTAAATTTGGGGGTTGGATTAGACACTTTGAGTTTTTGAGATTTGACCGAAATAAGAATCCTTATTTTTACTTTATCTCAAATTCTCTTATTCTCTTCTCATCCTTGCATAGATTAAGTACTTCGATGGAAGGCTAAACTCCTCGTTTTAATCTGCGAAATTCAAACGTTGTAATTCTGATTTGAGTTCTGGGCCAAATTGCTCCAACTTTATTCCTTTTTTTTCTAATATCAGATTTGTGTATTACAATCATGATTAACTTTTCTGTTGTTAGAATTCAAATTAACATTCGATCGATATTCTAAGTTGATAATTAAATCGGGTTAGGTCAAATGATAATTTAATTTAATATGTGATCTAGTTCAATTAGATTATTCAATTGAATTAATAATTGAATTGGGTAAACGTTCAAATTCAAATTAAAATCTTTAGATACCATGATAACCAGAGTTACACGCATTTGGTATTCTGTGCATTGAGATTTCTTCATATATTTTTAATCAAATTTATTTTGTTTGTAGTTTAATTTAATTAATTTGCATATTTCAACTAGGTTATTCGATTGAATTAATAATTGAATTGGGTAAACGTTTAAATTCAGATTAAAATCTTTAGATACCATAATAATCGGAGTTACACACATTTCATATTGGTGTGTAAAAATCGATTACTAGGCAAGTGTACCCGTTGTCAGAGTAATATTATGAAAAATAGAGTACCAAGTGTCGTATCCACAGGAGCTGTTATTAAGAATTACTTCCTTAATTGCGCAATTATTAATGAATATGAGAAATAAATTTTGTTGATAAAATTGCTAAAATAGAAGAATAATAAATTAAAAGAAATAGATTTCTTATGAAAATAAATTATAAAAAAGTATGACTAAAGGTATTCAAGAGAAATAGGTGAGTATCTAGACTGTAAATCCTCCTAAGTGGCCAAATAACTGAAATTCTCCTTCAACTACTTAGTTTTAAACCCTTATCGCTGCAGGAAATTCTGAAATAAACCAATACCTTTCTTAAGGATAATGATTCCTAACCCTCGGTTGATCAATTGGAATCTCTTCCTTAATTAATACCCTTAGGTTGCATTAAGTTCATTATCAATTCTATAATTAGGGTTAATCCTAATACAGAAAACTTTTGTCTTTCTATCTCTAGAAATACATTCAAGTCTTTTTAATTGAGCAATGTTAAATTCATGCAGGAATTTTACACAAATTAAAACAAGAAAACAAGGTGGAAGACAATTGATACTACTCAATTAAACCCAAGAGAAGAAAACATGAAATAGCATTAAGAAGAATTCCAAAAGGTTTGATCATATAGGATTCATTACGTCTAGATACTCAAAGGAAATTTAGAACCTAAACATCTTCAAACTAAAATTACAAAAGAGAGAAATTAAAGAGTTTCATTCCCTTCTCCAGCCGTCACTGACTCTTTCTTTTCCAAAAAATAACATCTCCTAGGTTAATGTGCCATGTTCCCTTTTATATGAGCCGTCCAAGGGCTCATCTTCTCGCAGAAGTTTAAATTCTGACGCACGTTCAAAGTACACGGCCATGTACTTTGGCCGTGTACATCTCTGGTATCTAACAATTGCCCTTCATAGTTTTTTTGAAAAGTACACGCCTATATACACGGCCATGTACTTTGACCGTGTACATCTCTGGCCTCTAAGAGTTGTCCTTCATAGCTTTCTTGAAAAGTACACGCTCAAGTACACGGCCATGTATTTTGACTGTGTACATCTCTGGTTTTGATGATGCACTTCAATTGACGCGACCAGTTAGATACACGCTCATATACACGAGAGTGTACTTGCTTGTGTATATCTCTGTTTTGATTATGTGCTTGATTTATGCAACCAATGAGATACACGTTCATGTACACGGCCATGTACTTGCCCGTGTATATCTCTGGTTCTTTTCTTGCTTCAATTCTCAATATCCTTTAAGCTCTCACTTCTTGATTTTTTTTCCTGAAATATGAATAAAATAGACTTAATAATAAATTCTCTTAATGAATAGCTCAAAAATCTTAATTATTATTCATGAATTACAATGTAGGACCAAGTATAGAAAGCATTTATCAAATTCTCCCGAACTTGAACGATTGCTTGTCCCCAAGCAAAGAAATGGGTCAAATTTACCTTTGACAATAAAGAATCAAATTCCTGAATTTTTATTATTGTTATTTTATTTTTATTTTTTTCAAATTTTTAGAGGGACAATAATTCTTAAACATCAAATTGTGCCATCTTTTGCTCTCAACCTTTGTAACTTCAGACAGAACTGAATAAGGACCTTTATGCCATTAGTTCTTAAAAATCACAGTCAAAACAGGGTGCATCTTATGTTCCATCCCAATTAGCACAAGGTATTAATGGAAATTCCATCCCTTGCTTTCCACATCAGTACCTCAAACAATTTTGGGGTTTTAGGATGTGGTATCCAGACATTGTCTGTAATTCACATTCAACTAGATATGCTTATATGGCATGCTCTTTTATTTTTTAGTAGAGCCCCAATTTTTTTTTCAGATATTAATTATTCTATTAATTGCATATATTCTTAAACATTTGGCATAGATTCAAGATCCTCAAATCAGAAAAGTCTTCTGATACTTCAATCGAGAAACAATTAAAAATCAAAATAACTGCGTATGATCTTATTTTTTTTCAACAAAACATTTTATTTATATAAACTATCCAAGAATATCATCTCTAATACATAGAAAAAACTAGCTCAATATTTGCTCGAGAACAAAAAAATTCAACTCAGACATTTATAAGTATCCACCCCACACTGTAAGATTTGCATTGTCCTCAATCAAATATAAGAATTAAAGTACAAACTGAAACTTCCCTGAAAAGAAATAGAAATAAGCAAAGAGTGGTTGGAGTCACAGCTAATCAGAGATTCAAATGAAGAAGAAACCTGACCAAAGTGAATTTATACAGAAATCATCTTAGTTCAAAATGACAAAAGGAGAGGAGCAATCAAAATAACGCAATAAAGAAACAAGAGCAATTTAAATTCTAAAAAAAACATAAGTATGAGAAATCCAACAACTAAGACTATCCTAATTGCAAACTAAACTGCTGCACTAGCATCATCTGAGTCTTCATCATCTGTACTAAGAAAGTGGTCAGAAGGAGATGAGGTTCATGCTGGGGGCGAGGACGCTTATTCAAAATATAAATAAATGAGCAAATAAATAACTAAATTAAAATAAACTAAACCTACCTAACCTAAACTATTCAATGTAATTCAACATTTAACATGGAGGAGTTTAAACTCCTCATTCGCAAAAGTTTGCAGTTGACCCCCTGGTACAGTTTCAGCCTATGTCCATTCACCTTAAAATTTCCTTTTTCTAGATGAGTTAATTCAATTATATACCACAAGGAAATACCTTATGCATAGTAACGGTCTAGACCAACGGAATTTCAGTTTACTTGGGAATAATTTGAGGCAAGAGTTATACAACAGTACTAAATCACCTTTTTGAAATAGTTTACCTCCCTTGATTTTTTTATCATGGTAGACCTTCAATTTTTCATCTGGTGGTTCATTAATAGATGAGTTGGATTGCTTCTCTGATTTCCACTCCAAAACTTTGAAGTCCCTCTTTCTCCATAATGACTTAGTGGCTTCTAAATGACACCATTGTTCTTGAGTTAGCAAGCTCATACCATCTTTTCCTCCTTCATGAACTAAGCTTCTTTTCAATGGGTTTGAAATCAAGAATTCATGTGCACAATCAGAAAAATAATCATCAATTACATTAATAAAGTGGCAAGAATCATCTTGTTTCAAAGACTTTTTTATCACATCAGGAATTTTGAAAGTGACTTTTTCATCTCCAACTCTCAAAATTAACTTTTCATCACTTACATCAATTATAGCCCTTGCAGTAGCTAAAAATGGACGACCTAAGATCAAGAGGACATCAATGTCCTCATCCATATCAAGAATCACAAAATCAATAGGAAAAATAAATTTGTCCACTTTTACAAGCACATCCTCAATGATACCCCTAGGATATTTAATTGACCTATCAGCTAGTTGAATACTTATCCTAGTTGGCCTAGGTTCTCCCAAACCCAATTTCTTAAAGACAGAATATGGCATCAAATTAATGCTAGCACCTAAATCAGCCAAAGCTCTATCAATTATCAATCTACCAATGAGACAAGGAAGAGTAAAACTCCCTGGATCCTTCAATTTCTCGGGCATCTTGTTTTGTAGAATTGCTAAACATTCTTCATTAAGAGTTACCGTGACTAACTCCTCTAACTTATTATTGGACAATAGATCCTTCAAAAATTTGGCGTACTTGGGCATCTGTGTCAAAGCATCAACAAACGGTAAATTGATATGAAGTTGACAAAATAAGGAAAGAAATTTATCAAATTGTTCATCATCCTTGTCTTTCTTCAATCTTGCTGGGTAGGGAAGTGGAGGTATGAATTCCTTCACTGTAGAGGGCTTTTCCACAGTCTCTTCTTGACTTTTATCTTTCTCTTCAACTGCAGTTTTTTCTGCTTCTTACTTCCCATTCTCTTGTAATATTCTGCCACTCCTTAATGTTACTGCATTGACATGCTCCTTAGGATTAGTCTCAATATTGCCAGGCCAACTTCCTTTGGGTCTTTTTGAGAGGAGTCTAGAAATTTGACCCAACTGATTTTCTAGATTATGAATAGAGGCTTGTTGATTTCTTAGTATTGTCTTGGTGGATTGGAACCGAGATTTTGAAGTTTGAATGAATTTGGTCATCAACTCCTCAAGGTTTGACTTCTTTTCAGTTGGGGGTGGTGGTGGATGTGAAGTTTATTGAAATCCTGGGAGTGTGTTGTTCCGCATTGGCTGTTGGTTGTTATTCCATGGTGGGGTTGCATAATTCCTCCAGCCCAGATTATTCATGCCATTATAATTTTGGTAAGGTGGTCTATTTCCTATCACATTGACATGTTCTTCTTGAGTAGCTTTACACTCATGATTAGGGTGGCCTCCTCTGCAAATATCACATCTCATCACTGAAGCAACTAGATGGTTAACAGATAAACCATCAATCTTCTTCCCTAAGGCTTCAACTTGCATTGCCAAGGATGTTACTGTATCAAGACTATAGATCCCAGCAGATTTTGTAGGTTTGGATCCAGTAGAGCTCCATTGATAGTTGTTCATTGCCATTTCTTCAAACAGTTCTTGTGCAGCCCTTGGTGTCTTGCTATTCAAAGTGCCCCCAATTGCAGCATCTATCATTTGTCTTGTGGCTGGGTTCAACCCATTGTAGAAGATTTGCACTTGAAGCCAGTCAGGAATCCCATGATGCGGGCACTTTCGTAGCAACTCCTTAGACCTTTCCCACGTATCATATAAAGTTTCTGACTCTAGTTGGTAGAAGGAAGATATATCATTTCGCATCTTAGTAGTTTTTGCAAGAGGGAAATATTTTGCTAAGAACTTTTTTGCCATGGCCTCCCATGAAGTGATAGATCCTCGCGGGAAAGAGTTCAACCACTGTTTTGCTCTACTCCTGAGAGAGAATGGAAATAGCCTTAAGCGGATTGCATCATCAGTAGCTCCATTTATCTTGAACATATCACAGATCCCCAGAAAATTAGCGATGTGAGCATTGGGGTCTTCATCTTGCAGCCCATCAAATTGAACAAACTGCTGAACCATCTGAATAACATTGAGCTTTATTTCAAAATTCCCCTGCACATTTGAACGGCCAATGCTAGATTTTGTCCCAGTTAATGATGGACGAGTATAATCAAACATGGTCCTTGGTTGCTCTTCATTGTTTGTCATTCCTTCCATATGGGTTTGTGTGTTTTCCCTCTGTACTAGCAGTCGCCTCTCTTTCTGAATTTTTCGCAAAGTTCTTTTTATCTCTGGGTCAAATTCAAATAGTTCTTCAAACAGTGCAACAGAACGGGTTCTGATCATACACCAGAAAAATCAGCTCCTAGAAAGAATGAAAGCAAAATAGAAAAGTTAATTCAAGACTAAAGAAATAAAGAAAATTAGTAAATACGTAATTAAGGGAATCCTAATTAATCAGTCCTCAGCAACAACGCATTTGGTATTCTGTGCATTGAGATTTCTTCATTTATTTTTAATCAATTTTTTTTGTTTGTAGTTTAATTTATTTAATTTGCATATTTCAAACCCTCAAAAATTTACTCGCATTTTTTAAAAGAAAACATAAAATTGAATTTAACTTAAACTGTGTCTCTGTGAATCAACCTAGGTTTAGCTCTATACTACAAAATTCTTAGAAAACTTAGTTGTTTTGATAGCGATTCAACATCATCTATCAAAACTCCAATGTCTGACTCTAAGAAATTTTATGGCACTGAAAAACACCCTAATTTTTTTTCCTATTTTGTCATTAATTCTTTTTATTTTATTTGAATGAGTTAAAATTATGAACATTGTTGTTGGGAATTATGTTTAAGCTTTGATGCTTGAAATTGTTGGATTTTAGGATGAGATTACATATTGACAATGCATTGAAGCACAAACATAAATAGATAAATGATGAAAAGAGATTTGTCACGAATCCTCATCAAAATATAAACAGAAATTAATGTAATACTAGGGTGCTAACCTAGGTCAACTCCAACAACAATGGTTGAGAATATGCATCAAACATGTTAAAAATATTAATTACGAAAGCAATTAATTGGGAGGGGGTTTGTGTAGTTCCAAGGTTGAAATAAAGAACAAGAAGCAGAATTATAAAGTTCAATCAATGAAAAGTGATAACCCCTAATTCATTCATGTAGACTCTATCCCTATTCCTCTTAAGATTTAATGCTCTTTCTCTCCTCCCAAAATTAGGTTAATTTAACAAGCAAAAATCAACCTTATATTTCCATGTGAATTAAGCAATTCAATGAACTCCAATCTCTCAACCCAAGATTATGCAATCTTAAAAATAAACCCAGAATTAAGCAATTCAAGTTTAGAATTTAATTAAAACGAATTAGGCTTCATTGCGCAATGCTCCCCTCATTCACCCATTAATTCAATTCAAGAGTTTAGGAGAAAGAAATTCATGGAAGGAAAAGAACTATATTAACATTCAAAATCCAAGAATTCAAGAGTCTAAATGGACTCTCTACATATTACAAAAGGTTTAACCCTCCATAAGGATGGGTCTTACAATTATCAAATGAAAATAAAGAGAAACCAATGACATTAATACAAAAATTAAAGAAGAATTAGGAATAAAATGAAAACCAAATCCTAGGTTGAGTCCTTGGCTATCACCCAAGGCTGACCTAAGCTCTGCAAGCATCCCAAAATGGCAAAAATCTAAAAAATGTCAAAAGATTCTAACCCCTAGTTTCTAAAATTCTATTTATAGTGCAGTAGTCGTTGCTCATAGTAGTTACTATGAAAGTCATAGTAGCTACGTGCAGCTTGCATCCTAACATTCTCCCTGGAGTGTCTATTATGAGATAAAGTGGCTAAGCGCAGCGCCCGTAGCTACTATGGAATGGAAGTGGCTACGCGTAGAACTGGATCACTTTAACCTTTTCTGGAGTGTCCACTATGGAATCCAAAGTGGCTACCCGCAGACCCTCTTCAATCTGAGGTCTCTGTAGTGTCCACTATGACTTTGAAAGTGATCACTTTGGTCTGCCTTCTAAATCTAGCTTGCCGTAGTGTCCACTATCACTTCTAAAAGTGGTCACTTTCAACTTAAATTTTCTCAAAGGCTAAAAATCCATGGAATAAGCCTAAAAACTTCTGCATAATTATTCAAATGATCAAAATTGCAAATTATATCTATGTAAATTAACCAAAAATTAAGAAACCTATTATATTTGACTAAAATGATGTTTCTATGCTATTTACACTCCCTAAGTCTACTTTTTCTATTAATGAATACTAAAAAAGATAAGTAAAAATCCAATAAAATGTGGATTCATCAATAAATAAGTAAACATCCATAGCAGACATAAAAGGATTATTTTGTAAAAACTAAAATAATTTGTAAGGATTAAATTTTAATAAAAAATTATGGAGAAAATGTTTAATACTATGATATAGCATCATGATCCATGGTTGTATGTGAGTCAAAATAATAAAAACGTAATTACTATAACACGAGACAAGCAACCAAAGTCGTTTCTCAAGAATCACCAAAACAATTTATCAAATTAGAGTTTAGAACAAGGGAATTCGACAAAATCAACAAAATGAAATGAAAAACTGAGAGAAGATAATCAATTAATTAAACATCTAATTCAAGAATCAAGAGGAAAGTAACAACACTCAGAAATTGAGTCCAAAAATTGATAATATTCTAATTTGAAGGGTTAAAACTTGAATTTGAATGAAACCTAAATCCAAAATAAGCGAGCATATGAAAACTTTCATGCTTTGATTAACACAAAATAAATTAAAATTCAGAAACTTCTAGAATTTAATCAAAACATACTAATTTTTTGCACTACTTAATTAACCCTAATTTCCTAAAATTGACTCACACACTTCAACTGAATAATGATAAATTAATCACTTCTTAATTAGAATTAGAACAAATACCTTCAATTCATAAAATTAAATAGAGTAGAAAGAAGAAGACAAAACTCAAATTAAGAACAAATATTGCAAACTGATTCTCAAAAGTGTTGCACTTCCTTGATCCTTGAATTAGATTACGAAAACTACTCTTTCGTAGGTAGAAAAGTACAACAATTCAAAGTTTTTGAGGATAGGGAAGAAAAATGCAAAAGAAAAAAAAAGGAGGAAACTTCAAATTGAATCTAAATTTGTGAATATTTCTTTGTCCATGTTCTCCCTCTCTCTTTTTAATATGTTTAAAATTTAAAATAAAAAATAATCAAAATCCTAGTCCTAATGATATTTAGTCTTATCAAAAATTCAAAACAAAGTTACACCAATTTTAAAATTTGAAAGATGCCACAATCTAAGGTAAAAACCTCATGTTAAGTTCTATCATCCAAGAATTACTAAGTCCTAAACTCAACAACTTTTAATTTCACAATGGAAACTAACAGAAAAACCAAGAAAATATTTTATTTTATTTTTGGAAAAAAAATCTAAAATCCTATGACTAAACTTCTCCCTCACACTTCAAGTTTACATTGTCCTTAATATAATGCAACAAAGGAAATGTAAAGAAGTAAATAAAGGAAAAGAAAGACTCCCTTATCTAATGTAAGTGGCTGCTAACAAGTGAACCTTCTCTATGGTTTCCAAGGATATGCCCTATTGAAATGACTTCAAGTGGTGGTCATTCACTGTGAAAACTTTATCTGTTTTAGGTTACAAAATATGTGTTACACCAAAAGGAAAAATCTTAGTCACAATATAAGCACTGAGCCACCTCGAACGAAGCTTATTGGAAAAGAGTTTGAGGTGAGAATTATAGAGAAACACTTTATGGCCAAAAGAGAACTCCTTTTGCAGCAACATCTTATCATGGATGAATTTGGTCTTTTCTTTGTATAGGCGAGAACTATCATAACCTTCCATCCAAATCTCTTCCAACTCCTAAAGCTTAAGCTTCCTGTAGGATCCGACCTAGTTTAGATCAAGGTTGCAATTTTTAACTACCCAGTAAGTCCTATGCTTAATCTACACCTAGAGTGGTATGCTTTACCAAAGACAATCCTATAGGGAGACATCCCAAAAGGAGTCTTATAAGCAGTACAGTAAGCCCATAATGCATCCTCAAACCTCTTGCTCCAATCTTTTTTATTTGGTTGGACTAATTTCTCCAAGATTTGTTTCAATTCCCTATTTGACACCTCTGCTTCTCCAAGATTTCTTCAGTAGGGACTCCATATTCCTATTATAGAAGAGGCTACCTTGATCACTGATGATAGCTTTGGGTACTCTGAACCTGCAGAAAATGTGTATTCTAACAAAATTTACAACATGAAAATTATCAGTTCTGGTGGCCTTAGCCTTTACCCACTTCAAGACATAATCAACAGCTAGCAAAATGTAAACAAAACCAAATGAAACAGGAAATGGGCCCATAAAAGCAATACCCCAAACATAAAAAATTTCACAAAATAATAAGGGTTGTTGAGGCATTTCATTCCTACGGGATATACTACCTATTTTCTGACATTGTTATCAATTCTTATAATATGTGTAAACATCACAAAATAATATGGGCTAATAGAAACAAGAATCTAAAACTTTTCTAGCAATGCATTGTGGCCCAAAGTAGCCTCTGCATGCAAGATTACGACAAAATTATAAAATAGACGGCATCTCAAACTCATGCACACAACGCTTAATGACTTGATCACCGTACATGTGCCATAAATATGGATCATCCCAAACATAATGCTTAGCCCAATGACTCAATATCAAATTCCTACAACAACAACATCCAGCTGATGAGTTTGGATAATGCTTTTCACTTCTTCAAAAGAAACGTTAATGTTGCATGATCAGAAATGACAATCACTTTAGTTCCTAACAAATAAGCATAAAATTTATCTAAAGTAAAAATAATAGTCAAAAGCTCCTTCTCACTAGTGGTGTAATTAGCCTTACACAATCCAATGTTCGGGAAGCATATACTATGATATGGGGAGTTTTCCCAACCCTCTAGGAAAAGATAATACCAATTGCAAGGTTTAATATGTCACACATTAGCTCAAATGGCTATTCCCAACTTGGCGACTGAAGTACAAGGGTAGAAATCAAGTGCTGCTTCAACTAGTCAAACGTTCTTTTCTAATCATCGTCAAAATGAAAATCTATATCTTTTTGTAAGAGCTTGGATAAAGGAATGGGAAGTTTTGCTAAAGTATTAGATAAATAGCATGAAAAAACCTACATGTCCTTGAAAAAAAATGCACTTGCTGCACACATGGGGTAAGGTAAAGAAGTAATAACATCAAGCTTGGACCTATCAACAGCAATACCCTCACTAGAAATGACATGTC